AAGAGGAGTGCGACAGGGTGTGTGATTGTCACCACTATTATTCAATGCATACTTGGAAGAAATTATGAAAAGAGCTCTTGAAGGAGAAACAGCAGGAATCAAGGTCAATGAAACACCAATTAACAACATTAGATATGCGGACGATACTATCATAATAGCAGACAACCTACAAGACCTCGAAAAGCTAATGAACAAGATAGTTGAGTATGGAGATGAATATGGATTATCAATAAACACCAAGAAAACCAAATTTATGAGGATATCAAAAACCCAAAATAATGGTGAAAGCCTGACAATTAACGGTAGTGCTTTAGAACAAGTTGAAAACTACCACTATCTTGGCACAATAATTAATCACACAAACGATTACTCCAAAGAAATCAAAGTTCGAATAGAGAAAGCACGTACAAACTTCAATAAAATGAGAAAGGTACTTTGTGCAAGAGAACTAAAATTGGACTTGAGAGTTAGGCTGGCAAGGTGTTATAGAGAGGTGGCATTTTCTCGGACTCTGCTTTATGAGATGGAATCATGAACACTTAACGCGTCGATTGCTAAAAAGATGAAAGCATTTAAAATGTGGGTGTATAAAAGAATCCTGAAGGTACCATGGATCGAGCATGTGACAAACAACGAAGTCTACAGAAGAATCAACAAGAGAATGGAAGTATTGGAAACCGTCAAGACACGAAAGCTGCAATACCTGGGGCATGTTATGCGTAATGAGAGATACAACCTACTTCAATTGGTTATACATGGAAAATTCAGGGCAAGAAAAGTGTAGGAAGAAGAAGAATCTCATGGTTGCGTAACTTGAAGGAATGGTACGGATGCAAATCAAAATTAAACTAGAGAAAAAGAAGATTTTTTATGTGATCATAAAAAATATGAAATCAAAAAAAGTATGTGTATGCCAAACAGACAACTGAAGACGGAGTATCGAAGAATCTGACAGATTTCTTTGCGTAATTAACTTGTTATAAAGTTGAGAATGTTATAAATTTAAACTTTTGTTTATTATCAGATGCAATTCAAATAAGTATATATACTTAAAGACAAAGTTTTAAGACTGTGTCATCCTTATACAGAGTTATCGGTAACTGGGGTAACCTTTAACCTTTGGATCCAAAGTTTAATAAGATTCTTTGTTTGACTTCTTTGTTTTGAAAGTGCCCTCTCCTTAATAATAGAGGTAGGCTACTACAATTGCAGACTTTTCTCGGTCCTTATCTGTTCTTATTCTTCTAGTGTTGTCTCCACTAATGAAGGTGGCTATAACCATTGCAAATTCGTCTCTATTTTCTGCTTTTCTTAAGAGCGTCTGTGTGTTTAACCCGGCCCAATAGCGAATGTTTTTCAGCCAGGATATTTGTCGTCTACCAGGACCCCTTTTTTCTTCGATGTTACCTTCATAATCCACTGCAACAACTCGTACTTATCATTTCTAAGTATGTGCTCCAAATATGCTGTCTTTCGCCTTTTAATAGTGATCAAAAGTTTTCTGTCTCTTCCCATTCTGGGCAAACACCATTTCGTTTGTAATATGATCGGTCCATGGTATCTTCAAAATTCTCTTAAAGAGCCACATCTCAAAAGATTCGAGTATTGAGCAAATTTCTGATTTCGGATTCAGATCTTCCGTAATCCAGACTCCTAAAAATTTCATTTTGTCTACTTACTCAATATCTTTATTTTATATCTGGATCCTTGTAATGACTTTGCCCTCTTACTGATAACCATGGGTTTTGTTTTTTATATGTTTATTGTTGAACCAAACTGGTCTCCAGTATCACAAATTGTGTTTAGTAACGTGTGCAGGTCTGTCTCACTTTTAACCATATTGACTATATCGTCAACATAACGGATGCTATTTATATTTTCACCATTAATCTTGATCCCTTCTGTACATTTTTCAAGTGCTTGCGTAAATAACTCATCGTAATACATATTAAATAGTAATGATGAAAGTACACAGCCCTGTCTCACTTCTCTACTTATCTATTGTGCATCCGTGCTATTTCCATCCAATGTTACTACAGCCTCTTGGTTCTAATGGAGATTTCTCACTATGGTAATGTCATTTTTGTCGAGTCGTTTTCTCTTTAGACATTCCATGATAATGTTATGTTTAATGTTTTCGAAAGTTTTCTTATAGTCTATAAAAGCAACGAAAACATCTTTTTGTTGGTCTCGACATTTTTAAGCAAGAGTTGTGAAACTATACAGAGCTCCCACTGTTCCGAAGCCGTTAGGAAAGCCAAACTGTCTATTACTCATACCCGCTTCGCACTTTTTGAAGTGTGACATTAGGCTGAATAATCTATATGTAGTTTTTTAATAAACTCGACCAATTTTCATCGTATATTAATTCACTTCATAGTCATATTGAATTTACAATAGAAACAGAACAAAATCAATGCATAAATTTTTTAGATTTAAAAATTAGCAGACTTCAAAACAAACATGACTTCTCTATATTTCACAAACCTACCCATACTGACACGACTATACACAATTCATCATCTCATCCAACACAACATAAACTGGCAGCTTATCATAGTATGTTACATAGATTAACAGAAATTCCGATGTCAAAAGACAACTTTGAGACAGAATTAAATATAATTAAGCAAATAGCAGTAAACAACGGATACAACGAACAAACAATTAATAAAATGTTAAATCAAAAACTACACAAGAAAGCCCTGAAAATAGTATTTCCACCACCAGAGAAAAAACCCAGTACCTTCTGCTCGATTACATATACAGGCAAAATAACAACAAAAATTGCCAAACATATACAAAAGAAAGGAATAACACCAGCTTTCCGAACAAATAACAACCTAGGTAAATATATTAAAAATAACAAGAGCCAAAATAAAAAACACTTAAATAGTGGTGTGTATAAAATTCAATGTGGCGACTGCCCAAAAACTTACATCGGTCAAACTGGTAGAAACTTTGAGAAACGAATAGCAGAACATAAAAGGGCTTTCAAGAATAGAAAAACAGATTCGACATACGCACTTCACCTTCTAGATCATAATCATTCTTTCAATGACAAATTTAAAATTCTTCACGTTCAAAATAAAGGCCTTAAGCTATCTTTGTTAGAATCTATGGAAATCAATAAATTAAAAAACACAGATATAATTCTGAATGACCAACTTGAGACAAACAGTTCTCCCCTCCTCAACCTATTTCATTAGAGTCTATAAATTGTAAACGCATGCCAAAAATAGATCACTTAAGAAAGGCTATCAGCCGAAACAGCTGTAGTGATAATAGTTAAAATAAATTTTGTGGAAGTTTGAAAACAAAGTTTTCAGTGTTTTATTGTTACATAAAATGAATTTCCATCAAGTAACGGTCGAATCCATCAACTATATGTAGTTATTACAGTGTTTTTGGTTCCTGGTTATTGGTAGCGGAACAAAGGACAATAGTAGCCATTCTGTAGGTAACTCACCAAACTTGTATATGTTGTTAAAGAGTATAGTTATTGCACTTAAATTGTCTTCTTCGTCTATAAGTTTAATCAGCTCGATATGAACTTCATCTGGCCCAGGGGCTCTGTCAGATTTTGAGTTGTTTATAGCATGTTGGACTTCATATTATAATATTATTGGAGCTTATTAATTATTTTTATTGTAGATCCATAATTATTTCATTTCTGAAAGCTACTTTTTTGTGTATTGTCTTGTTTGTAGATTCTATTCAGTTACTGGGTCATTGCCTAAATGCCATATTTAATTGATCATAATTCTAGTGGAACAAATTCTAGTGTTAATCATCTTTATATAGACCCTATTAATATGATCTTTACGTCTCTGCTATATCTTCTATGTTTGTTCGAAAGATCCTTATGTTGTCTTCAAACTGTCCAAGTTCTAGCTTTAAAGTAAAAGGTCTCTTGCCTAGTTGTTTAAATTAGAAATCATAATTTTCTTACCATAATATGGACCACTATTGTTTTTTAGCCCTGCATCTTCGTTAAATATATTTCTTAAGAATAAATAAATGATATATTAGAAGGCGTAATCAAAGCATGTCATCAACATCATCACAAGGAGTCATCGATCTATGAAAATAACTAACTAAACTAATTTGTCTGCTTATTAAACATAAAATTCAAAGTCCATAATAAATAGAAACAAAAGAAACATAAATAATTAATATAAGGTTGAATGCTCGAGTAAATGAACTTTGAAAAATAAGGCTATTATCGAGAACAAGTTTAATTAAATATTGCCCAAGTACTTTCGCTTAAAAGAGCATCTTCAGGGGCATTTCGTTAAATATAAGCTATCCAGCAAGCGTAGAATGTAAAAAACATAAGTAATAACATAAAATTGTACAAAATACTACACTAAAACAAGGACATAGAGTTTAAAATTACTTAAAAGATTCTACGCACTACATTCTTTGTCAGTATCAGGAGGGAGAATGAATGAATGAACTATTCTCCCTCCTGATACTGACAAAGAATGTAGTGCGTAGAATCTTTTAAGTAATTTTAAACTGTTTGTCCTTGTATTAGTGTGGTGTTTTGTACAATTTTATGTTATTACTAATGTTTTTCACATTCTACGCTTGCTGGATAGCTCATATTTGACGAAATGCCCTTGAAAATGCTATTTTAAGCGAAAATACTTGGGCAAGATTTAATTAAACTTGTGCTCGATAATAGCCTTATTTTTTAAAGTTCATAAACATAAATGATCAAAATTTTGACTGCGGATTGTGGAATCCACAAAATGTGCATACTGAAAGTAATTATCTAGGCAATTTAAATCGAGACGAATTTCAGTTGGACTTAACTCTAAAGAAATTGAATACGCCTTAATTACTTGTCTACAGGCAAATATCAATTGTTGGATATTAAGATAACGACTGTGGCAGTGACATAAAACTCTGTTGAATCAAAATTGGAGTATGGATTAAACCAAAAACGCATAAAATGGTTAGTTTTGTTTAATAATTTTTATATACCTACTTACTTTTGGTAAATTTCTTAAAGTTAGCTGCTTTCGCGTTAACATGTATCCCAGTATTGTTCCCATGAACCAAGGGGAAGCTCTTGTTTCCGTTCTTAAATAATATTTATTCATGTACTCCGGTTTCGGATCCCTAAAAGATATTATTTATTTGTTTATTTAATCTTTATGACCCTTTAAAATGTCTAAAAGTTTTAATTAATATTAGGATTATATTTTATTATTGCTTTATATGTTCTTTTAATTAGATAATGGAATGGTGGTAGATGGCCACTTCTGCGCCAATTTAGACTTTGATGTTATCGACAGAGATTGATTATAATCCAAAAAGACGAAACTGTCGCATTATCTTCATTTGGAATACAAATATATCCTAAATATCTAAATAACTCAAACACTATTACTACATAATATGATTTGTCTGATTTTTATTTAAAAAAAGCAAGAAAATAGAATGATTTTACAACGATTTTAGATGATTTCGATTGTTCGATAAAAGACAATGATTTATGTGTCTGAATCAAATAGTTCATTAACAAAAAGTAAGTTTTTGTTTCCAATTTTTTTCCAAATGTCCAAATTTTAGTTAATACTTGTGATATTATTAAATAATTTTAATTTCAGGTAATCTAGAGAATCAACCAAAATTATACTTTTCCGAAAGACAACTTACACAATAAACTACAGGCTGGAAAAAATGTAACCGCAGTAAATGAACGAAAACCATTAAAAAACTTTAAAAACCGTCAAAAATTTAAAGCAGAGACACTTAAATCTATAGATTTAAGTAAATGATGCTTTAGATGCACAGAATACGATGGCGAATATGTTGGCGATCATCATGGCGATCTTTATCTTATCTGCAGCAGTGCAGAAAAGATGGACAGAGGTTGTATTGAACCAGATTCTGAGAGTCTTTAACCAAGATGTTCTTCTTCCCGGACCTCGTTTTCCAAATATTTTCCAAAAAGGAGAGCACATCTGGATTCATTTCGCATAATATGTCCGAAGAACTGTAACTTTCGATATTTGATGATAGTCAGTACCTTCCGGTTCAGTACCTACCGTGAGAAGCACGATTTGTGCAAATTATTGGTCAAATGGTTTTAACCGTCAAAAGGATTTCATATTAAGCAAAGTTGAAACATGTGCCTAAACTAAGAAGAGCAAAAGTAGGAAGTATTTAGAAAAGACGAACAGATTTTAAACGTTATTTTCTTAAATTTGCCAAACTACAATAAGAGTACAAACTACTTTTTCATAAAAATTTTTTATATGCCATAAGTGATTTAACATGCTCTTAGTTTTCAAGGAGAACGTTTATTCATAAGAAGGTCAGATGAGGTAAAAATATACCCTACAACAAATCACCAATCGACAGAAGCAGTATCGGACGCCTGCGCAAAATATGGAGGTACAACCTTCCTCAGAGGTATTAATCCGCCAATGAATAAGCAGAATTGCTTATAAAGAAGAAGAAGAAGAAGAAGAACAAAACAACAATTCATCTCTATTGTCCCATCTTCCATCGTTTAGGCCTCTTCCACTTATGGCGTGGTCTACTTCATTCCTATATGTCATTTGGGGTTGTCCTCTTTTCCTGCTTTCTGTGGGGCTCCATTCAATTATACTCTTTATCCATCTGCTGTCGCTAGTCCTTCTTACCATTCCATCTCTATTGCTACCATTTTATTGCTGTTTTTCTTATTTCTAATCAATTTTTAGCCCCATATGTCATAATACTTCGCACTAATGGTTTATAAATCTGTGTTTTTGTCTAGGTGTTTATACCACCATTCTGAGTAAAGTTGTCAGATTGCTGTATTTGTTTGTCCTAATCTTTGTTTAATTTCTTCCCCTGTTGTTGCGTTTTTCGTGATTCTAAATCCCAAGTATTTGAATTTATCCTTTCCTTTGATTGTAACGTTGTCGTCAATCTGTAAATTTTCTTTGTTTTCTTGACTTGTAGATATATACTCTGTTTTCGCGAGGTTAATATCTAGCTAACCTTGGTATATTCTTCTTGTAGTTTCTTCTTATGTAAATGCGATCATGTTACATTCTGATTTAAATGTCATAAAAAACCTCCACTGCTCCACCATAGGCCGATCAGATCCCAGCATATCCTAGTCTAAGCCGCAGATTCATCTAGAATTTTAAACTGCTGCGTTAGACTTTTTGTTTTCTGTACTACGAGCTGGGACTCGAACCCACATCCACTGAACCATTCGACAGTTAAAGCGAATGAGAGGTAGCCGCACAGCCCGCTGAGCTATCTGACCGACTAATATGTCTTTTTTACCGATAAAAAAAATCAATGTCAGATATGTGTTAAATTTATTACAGCTGATTTGGAGAAAAAAAAAGCAATCGGAAGAGAATTACTAAAAGATTATTGTGAAATCTGTTAAATATAAGACAGCTGATTTTGAGAGAAGAAAGCAATTGGAAGCGAATTACGAAAATCACATTATACAAAAATTAATTATTTTAGGGCCAAAATAAAAGATAGAGAAAGAGCTTAAAGAGAGTAACTTTATGGTGCACTTTTGATCTTAAATAATGTGCAGATTCCATGTAGTAGTATAGAAGAAATCTGATGTATTAGAGCTGTAAGATTTATACCTACAATTAAAGGCATATAAGTTGACAATATCCAATAACTTATACTTTTTTCATGGTCCAAGCTAAACAAAAAAAATTGAAAGCCTGAAAATTTGTCATTGCAATCCGACATTATTGCAATCAGAATATTACTGCCTATGTATTTAGTACAAACAAATCCTAATTTATCTGTGATATAACAGGAATTTCTGGAGAGTAGAAATAGCTACATCGAAATATATAGCATTCATAGTGATATTGAAAAGGTGCATGTATGTAGTATGTCCCAGCAAATGCACTAGCTTAATATTTTTTGTACGTTAAGGACGCATATCTGGTAAGAAACCTCATATTGTAGAAGAACTTAAGTTTAAGGACCTTTTTTGCTTAAAGGTGCTGTCAAAGGTAATAATAAAAATAGGACAAAAAACACATGTAATGGAAAAAAGGGTAACTGGATAACTGGCTACAAATAAAATGCCTAAAATATATAAAATCCAATAGAATAATAGCGGTTTTTGTCATCGATTCACTACTTTTGATCAATTCGTTTCTAGTCAGTTCATTCTAGTTTCAATAAAAAACTACATGAAAAATAACTATCAAAATATAGTCATTAAATATGAGGTGAAAAATTTAAAGAATGACATGTCACTAAAAGATTTGATTCGTAACGACTGTCAAAATTTAATAAATCACAAATGTCATCATAAATGTTACAATGTTCTTAATATTTCTCGTTTTAAAATAATTTCATATAAATACATTATTTTTAAAAATATTATGTAGTTTATATAATAATTAATTTAACTATTAAATGATATTTCTTTAAATTGTATTATTAATATTTGTTCTGTATTTGACAGATGTGTCATAAGTAAACAACGTATGCTTTGTTAATACGTAAACATAAATATGACGTTAGTGAGAGCGCCCACCAAAGTGGCGAGGCACGTGGCAAGTAGCAAGTAGCAAGTGTTACTTAAAATGTATCCAATGAAAACGAATGATTCAGCGTACACCAAAATGACAGTGATGTCAGTCGCTCTAATCATTCGTTTGCATTGGTTACATTTTATGTAACATGCTAGACGTGTGCTACTTGCTACTTGCCACGTGCCACGCCACTTTGGTGGACGCTCTCCCTTACGAGCAAACAATAATTTATTGAATTTGTAAAAATATAAAAAATATGTAAATAACAAAAAATTTTTTTAATTAATTTTAAATATATTATTAATGCTATCCGTGGCAACGCCATATTGTATCGCTAGTTTCGTGACGCTCGCCTCAATATTTTACTGTAGAGAGAAAAAGTAATACAACGCGAGTATAGAAGCTCCACTTTAAAAGCAGATACCCCTTGAACCAATTTTTGATGAGATGGACTGTTGACCTAAATGTATTTTTGCTACCTACTCCATCTGATATATCTTCTTATTGATAACAAATACTATATTAGACATACCTATTAGACAAAATATGAAATGGGTCACTTACATTGTTACTCCAGAAACCATTGCCTGTAATTCCATTGTGTAGGCCCTTGAAAAGCAAAGTCCAATAGACAAAAATGTTCCAGTTACTATAACGAAGATTCCCGTTTTGGGATAATTTGCCAGTAACCAAAATATTAGAGGAGAGAGCAAAAATAACTGCATATCAACATCTAAATACCATGAATGTCCAACACACTAGAAATAACAAAAAGTAAATGATGTATATTAGACCATCATTCAGTTTAAATACAAAATATATTTAAAAGGGTCAACCAAATATTCATTACAACATAGAGTGTAGAAACCACTTACGGAATAAAATTGTTTATCTCCTTGCTTTAAAAACCTATGGAAAACGCTAAGGCCGGTAAATTTTAAATATAAATATGTGCTTTCTAAAAATCAATTTGAATGTACAAAGTAATTCACGCAAGTATAGCATAGTACATAATGTTTATTTTTAACGAAACAACGAAATAATAATAATAATAAATAGATGACGAAATGGATGAATATAGAAATGGATGACCCAGCACGGACTGAAACTTGCGGCAATAAAAACCGAAGCCATTATTCTGAAGGGGGAAAGAAACAGGCAAACTGTTGAATTACAATGTGCGGGAGCATCTTTAACACCTAAGAAACACGTAAAGTACCTAGGAGTGACATTGCACCAGAATGGAAAATGGGGGAGCATGTGCGGGAAGTGGCCCAGAAGGCTGCGAATAATGCAGCTGCGTTGGAGAGGATGATGCCCAATATTGGGGGACCCAAATCCGAAAGAAGAAGGGGCTTACACGGTGTTGTACAGTCGATCGTCCTCTATGCGACACCAGTCTGGAGCGGGGCGGTAAAGATAACGGCCTATAGGAGGCTCATGATACGAGTGGACAGAACAAGTCTGTTGCAAGTAGCATGCGTCTACAGGACTGTCTGCGGCAGCCTATCTGCGGCGGACTATCACTGAATGTGTTTCGTTGCATGTTCTGGCGGTGGAAAGAAAAGAGCTCTATAAAAGAAGATGCCCAAATCTTACTATGGCCGAGAGAAGACAGGAAAGGGAGAGATCAACTGAAAGATGGTAAGAAGAATGGAATAACGCGGAGGATGTGACACAGTGGACGAAAATGCTAATCCCAACATAAGAGATTAGGTGGGCTGTGGCCACAGGCGACTAGATTATTTCCTGACGCAGGTGCTCACAAGACACGGATGTTTTAGGGCCTACCCCTCTAGGTTCGGAAAGGCTAACTTAGATGAATGCCTATACTGCGGGCACTTAGACACTGTGACACATATAATGTTAGAGTGCAACAGAGGAATAATAGAAATGAACAGAATGGAAAGAGAGACAGGTGTGAATTTTGTTACTGTGAATTTTGTTACAGTGAGAGAAATTATAAAGAGAATGATTTAATATAAAGCAGGTTAGACTAGTATACACAACTATATCCGTGCAGTTATCAAGAAAAAACAAGAGAAAGAAAGACAGCTGGATCAACGGCAAAGGTAAGAGGGAAAAATGCTAGTTGAAGGTAGAAAAGTGGGTCAAACTGTAAGAGTTAGCCTGTGTGAGTCAGACTGTGGGAAAAGAGGAAATGCCCGTATGAGAGTGATATCGAGTGAAATGAGCCAGGGAGACTCCTGTGGAGGAATAAAGGTAGCGCTTCGGAAGTGATGCCGGAATGGCCGCTGTACCATTCCGCTTCCGGATCGCTGGATGACAAAGGAATGTCTGGTTTAGAAGATAGGCATTTGGCTTAGATTTGGCGACAAGAGGGCATTTTAAAATACCTCGGTAACTATCGCCGAGAGTATGAAGAACGAATCCTGTACTAAGGTCAGTCAGGTGGTGTCCTGGACTGAGATATCATTTGAAGATTCCAGACCCCCCTGTATAAAGACGAAAAAAAAAGTTGTACAGGAACAAATTACCAAATGTACCTTTACCTCCCAAATCAGTATTGACTAGGTGAAGAACTTAGTCGAAAGCAGCAATGCGGAACATTTTATTTAAATACCCATTTAAGTGATCTGGTTTTGCCAAGGTCTAAACATTTGAAACATTTATTCTGGTAAAATTTGTGAAAACGTGATTTATAATAAATCTTAATTGAATTACTAAGTTGAACCATGCAAGAATTATCGCATTAATTAAACAAGGCCATTCACAGCGGTTCGTGGCAGAAATAGTGTGTATTTCTCAAAGTGGTTTCTCACAAATATGTGAGACAGATATATGTGGCTTATGGAGACAAACTCGATACAAAATAGAGCTTGCTCTGGTAGATCCCGAGTTGTCAATAATTAGGATAATAGATGTATCAGAATTTCCATTCGGATAAATTTTTCCATATCTGTACCAGACCTAAAAAGAGACTTTACACGTGCTACAGGAATCAGGGCATCATTGGCTACAATAAGAAAAAAAATTAGAGTCAGGTTTTAGGAGTCGAATTCAATAAGAGTTTCTCAGCTAAAACCTAGAACTTCATGTAATTTTATGGCAATGAGCTATGGGTAAAAATTTTGTATGTGTGGATGAAATGCCCCCCCCCCCCAACATAGGGCTCAAGCGGTTAATGACTATCTTAAGACAGAAGGTATTCGCCATTTGAAGTGGGCTGCGATGTTTCTTGGGCATGACTCTCATTGACCGTGCATGAAATGTAGTTTTCTAAGCAATGCATGCCCAAAGAAAGTATCCTAGAACCGCTTATGAGCTTGCAATTGTCTGTACAGAAAAATGAAAGAATCTCCCACAGGAAATACTTGATCGACTTGTTAGCAGTATTACAGCTCGAATCCAGGATTGCATCGATGTCCGTGGTGAAAATACAAAATTTTAACATTGTTAAATGCATTTTCACAAAACCGTATCTCTTTTAAAACAAAAAATATATGTCAACGGTATGCTTTTTTTTATAAACGATTTATAATATTAGTTTCTAAAAATATTTTGCATAATTTTAAAACTATGCGTATTTGTTTTGGTTTTTAATTAAACCAAATTCAATAATTTTGAATGCCCAAAAATTATTGCTCGTTTCACAGCTGATTATATAAACTTTTATAAATTTAACTTTTAACGATTATAAATTTAAATACAATATTGAAAAATTTTAAAATTATTGTTTATATTAATGAAGACAATTATTCATTTACATTCATTTTTTTGAATCTTTAATTAACTGATTAGGTTTTAATATAATGAACATCACTATGCACTTCTGTTTTAATCTTTAAATTTATACAGAGTGCTGTTACATAATATAATTATACATTCTGAAACTGTTTTCTTGTAGCTTGTTTAAATTAAAAAGTGTATTTATATGGAACTAAACCACAATTGATTGTAATGAAAATTAAATTTCACCTTTGTTTTTAAAGTTTCGATATCCAATCCGGAAATCGAAATTAATTAAGAAATTGTGTTAACAGATAAACATCTGCAACGCATTTGGTAAAAATATTAGTTGGTAAAATCACGCCCAAAACTATTTTAAATTGATCTTGAGACCAGTAGCAAATTTTAACATATACCTATATAAGATTAAATGTTATTTTAAACTAATTTGTTTTCTAAACAAGTGTAAACATATTTAACAAAATTTTCAGATTAGATCGTCAAGTGAGGATCATAATTCTTACCATGGTGTCAACATTCGCCCAATTCTGAACATAAAGTAAGGTTGTCCACCAATATCTTTTACAAAATCCTTCAAAACTGATGACAGTTATTGGCCAACGAGGACCCGAACCAAAATACCGCAAAAGTGTAGCAGAAACAAGCACAATACCAGCCAGGCCTGGTGTTAACCTAAAAAATATCAAATTTAATTTTTTTACCGATTTATCGGCAATATTTTTGAGAAGAACTCAATTAAGGTGATTTGTGATTTATATTTTGAAGCCTAATGGTCTCCTTTCTTTTTTTTAATCTCCTTCTTTGTCTTTTTCCCATTTTGTCCTCCAGAGCACTCTATTCTCCCAGTCACCTTCTTTAAGGTATCAATCTATCATTACATTTCCTATTTAAGTTTTCCATCTTATAGAAGTTCTTACCCTTTGTCTTCTCCCGGCGGGTCTCAATCCAATATTTTTTTGGCTATCTGTGCTCTGGCATTATTTGTACATGCCCGTACCATTGCAGGTATCTGTTTTCCAACTATTTTGTAATTGATTATTCGTAGAGCTCTTTCTTGGCTTGTTTTCTACGTGCTGTTTTAATTTCTTTATCTTTCATATAAGTACCATATCAGCTTATCATCTCTTACTCTTCTTCTAAAGTTAAGTTTAAATCTTCAACTTTGAATTCAATACAAAGTAATCGGTTTTACATATACTTATATTAAGTCCCCGTAGCTCATATTTTTTCTTTATTTTACTTATCATATATTTTATGTCCTCCCAGTCTTGTGCAAAAATGACTTGGTCATCTGCAAAAAGTAGTTACTGTAGTATATTCTCTTGTACTGTTATACCCATTTTTCCGCTTTTTGTATACCGTCTTTTTAAAACTTGATATATGTATCCGTTAAAAAGTGTAGGTGATAGATTAAAGCCATATGTATTCATATTTTGTTATATTATTTTTTTTATATAACTGTGGAAAAGATTCTTGCTATTAAGGCATTATACTGATCCGTTTATAGTAATTTGGTGAACTTTTGTCACATTTTTAAAAATAGAGGACATGAATTCCAATAATCGATAATATCCTTGCCTACTTTAATTTTATTAAACAACACTCGTATAAATGATACGATGCTTGCTTCTGCATATTTAATCAGTTCCAGTTTTATGTTCTATGATCCTGGTGCCTTGTTGTTTTTTGACATTCTTTAGTGCTTTAGTTATATCTTCTTCTGTGATTTCAACTTCCCCCGATAATACTGTCACAGGAATTTGTGAAAGATACTCTTATCTATTTTGCAATAATTTTATGCAATGCCTTTTCCACTCCTTTGATGTAATTCATCATTCTGAATCTCATCGCCTTTATTCGCCAAGCACGTATTCCCATATTCCTCATG